TTTAATTGCCCAAAAGCAGTTTTAAACAAAATTAATTTACTTTTTAATTTCCACTTTATTTTTTTTTTTTTTGCTTCCAATCGACATTCTTGTTGTATATAAAATAGGAAAATTTTTTAGCAATAAACATTCAATTATCATTTGATAAATATTTTCGTGTGCTCAAATATTTATTAAGGTAATCATTTCAAACTATTTTTTTTTTCTTTAAAATTATTTTTAAATTTTAAAACTTATATATTTCTATAATTTAATTATTACCAATTAGCAATCATGCATGATGATCAAATAATTTTGAAAACTTTTTTACTAGTTTATAACTGAAAAAAAAAGAAATATCTGATAGCTAAGGTATAAATAAATGCTTTAGGCGCAAATTGCAAAAAATTAAAGTAAATAAATTTTAAAATTTATTTATTTCTTTTATTTAATTATTATCAATTAGCTATCATTACATAATGGTCAAAATAATTTTTTACATATGGAATAATAATAATTTTTTTTTGCAAAAACTTTTTTACTAGTTTATATTGAGTGAAAATATCTGATAGCTAAGATATAAATAAATTCTTTAGGCGCAAAATGCATTTTTATGGGCGGAAAAATCAAAGTAAATAAATTTTAATACTTATATATTTCATTTATTTAATTATTATCAATTAATTATTGCACATAATGGTCAAAATAATTTTTCACATATGAAATAATAATAATTATTTTTTTTTTTAAATTTTTATACTAGTTTATATTAAGTGAAAATATATGATAGCTAAGATAATGCGCAAAATGCATTTTGATGGGCGGAAAAATCCTATTATTTAATTATTAATTATCATACATGATGATCAAATGTTTTTTCATATATGAAATAATTACTATTATTTATTTCTTTTTGAAACTTTTTTACTATTGGAATAAAAACATCTCATAACTAAGGTAAAAATAAATGCTTTAGGCGCAAAATGCATTTTGGTGGGCGGTAAAATCAAAGTAAATAAAATTTTGTAAATTATATTTACAAATTTTTGTCAACATTTTTCTATAAATTGTTATACAATTTTCATCATACATCATTAATTAGTTAATTAAATTAGCTAAAAAATATGCAAAAAAAAAGGAAACAAACATAAATACTTTTAATTAAGTAATAAAATTTATTTCAATTTTAAATCATAAATTCTTATTAGCTTAAATATTTACAGTAAATATTTCACTAACAAAATAATTATCCCCGCCGGGAATGTAAATAAAATGTTTATTAATTGCTGTGGTATTTGTAATTGAGAAATTGAAAACAAGTTTTTTTCATTTCGTTAATTTCTCCCTTTTATATTTTAATCGGTCATAAAATTTCGTTCGTTCTTTTTTCTTTTTTCATTGTTCATAGAAATGAATTGTTGTTGTTGTTTATTATTTATGTTTATGTTTACATTTCAATGACTGTTTTTTATTGTCAGCAAAAAAGAAAAAAAAAACTTTTTTATTTTCAAAATATTATTTGTTAAATATGCATTTTAATTAAAAAAAAATATTTTATCGTTTTTTAATATATTTTTATTTTTATATAACAATTATATATTATTTTGTTATATAATAATTTTCTAATTATTTATTATAAATATTTGTTTGTTATTAAATAATTTTTCAAATTAATTAAATTAAATTATAAAAAATATTAAAAAAAAAAATTTTGTTTTGTGGTAATTTGTTTTTTTCTTTTTTCTTAAACAATTATTATCGATTTGATAAGGTAATTAACTTTTAAAAAAAGGTAGAAAATATTTTGCTATTAAAAATTTCTTATCAAAAATTATATTTTGTAAAATTTTTTCAAATTTGAATTTTTATTTAGTAAATTAGACTAATCTTTGTTTTTTTTGTCTCCTTTTTTTATCAACAAATAATGATATAAGCCAAGTTTTCTTGGCCCGTTCGAGAAAAATAAATAAATAATTTTTATTTATTTATGTATAATTTTTATTCTTACATTTTTTTTTAAAAATTTTGATCATTTTTTTTTTAAAAAAAAGATTGCAATTGAAAAAAATTCTGTTCAAAAATTTAAAAATTAATTTTAGAAGTGAAAAAGTGAAAGAAATAATATTTAAAAATCAGAAATTAATTTCAAATAGAACAAAAGAATATTTTATTCTATTTGGCAAATTCAATTATTCAAATCAGATAGAACAAAAGAAATATAATTATTTTCTAATTATAATATATTTTATAATTAATTATTTAGCATTTTCTTAATTATCAAATAAGTAAATAAATAAAGCGCAAAATGAATTATTTTGTTTGGAATTGTAAACAAAACATTTGAGCAATTAAAATTTTGTAATAAAATTAAAACATAAATGATTAATAAAATAAATTTTATTCAAATTTTTTATTACTAATTTAAAATTATTTCAAAAATTTTGCCGTAAATGAAATCACTAATAAAATAAAAGAGCGAGAGAGAGGGAAAGAGAAAGAGAGAGAGAGAGAGATTCTCTTAGAATTTTATTGATATTTTTTTTATCATTAATTTGAAACAAGTTTTATCAAATTTCTTGTTATTTGAACAAAAATTAGGACAGAATATGAAAAAAAAAAAATTTAACTGTTTTTTTTTTTTTAATTTTTTAATTTTTAATTTTTTTAAATCTTTTGGAAATGCGCAATAGAGCGCAAATGACGAGGTCAATTTTTAATAACGTCACTTTTTCTCAGGAATAAATAATGAACAAAATGTTTGAATTAGGATGAATGATTAATTATTATTCTCGAGATTCTGTCGCACTCAACCGAGAGCTCTATTAAATCGTTTGAAAAAATACAAAAAAAATTTATATCAATTTGATTTTGTGATATTATTTTTGTTGTTTTCATTTTCAAACAAATTTTTGCGCTTTCTTTGTTCTCAAATTTATAAATTGAAAATGAAAAATGAACAAATTACGACAATTCTTTTTCACTTTTCTGTTGTTATTATTTTATCTAATCATTTATCAGAGAATTTATCAGAGAACTGTTTATCCATTTTTTCTAATCATTTATCAAACAATTAATTTTTCCATTTTATTTAATCATTTTTGAAATTACTGATAAGAAATGATTAAAATGAAATGTTCTTTTTTTTTTGATTTGATTTACTTTTGTTTTTTTTTCGAACTATCACTCTTTTAATTGAAATTATTTGAAATCACTGATAAGAAACATGATAAGAAATGATTAAATTGAAATGTTCTTTTTTTTGATTTGATTTGATTTACTTTTGTTTTTTTTTTTTTTTTCAAATTTTTATTCTTTTAATTGAAATTATCTTTGCAAAAAGAGTGGAATATTTCGAAAAAATTTTCATTTTAAAATATTATCAATTAAATTTTGAAAAGGTTAAATTTTGAGTGAAATTTTTTTTATTTAATTCAAAAAATGACACATAAATATTTTATATTTAGTTTTTCTTTTTTCTTATATTTTTTTAATATTTTATATTTAAATTTTTTTATATTTTATTTTCTTGTATTTGATATTTTAATTTCAATTTCTTTGATAACTTATTCCTGTTTTTTTTTTTTTAAATTCATTTTTACATTTGCAAAAAGTTTTTTCACTCAAAAAATTCTTATCAATTTTTAATTTACAAATTGATGAGAATAATTTTATCTTTGGAAATGTTAAAATAAATTTAGAATTATTACATTTATTTATGAATTAAAAATTTTTTCGCATTATAATTTTAAATTTTATTCCTAAATTAAACATTTAGTATTATTTTTTTTTTTTCATTTTTGCAATAATTACTACATTTATTGAAATTGTTAAAACTTTCAAATTTAAAAAAAAAAGAAGATTCTAATCAATTTTTTTCTTTAATTCACTAATGAAACATTTCTGTATTTCATTTAATTATTAATTAAAATTAATCATAATTATATTTAAAATAAATAATTTAAGATCATTCTATTGTTTTTTTTTTTTTTTTTTTTTAAATGTGGCATAGTTTATAACAGAAAAAAGAGAAAAAAAAATGGTAAAAATATAATTTTATTATTTGTAATAAAAATATAATAAAGAAAAATAAAAATAATAATAATAATAAAATAGAGAAAAAAGAAAGATAAATTAATTTTTCAGTGTTAACAATTTATTCCATAAAAATTATTTTCAAAAAAAAAAAAAAAGGAAATATTGTTTTTATTTATTAAAATAAATAATTCCATTCTAGCATTTAGCAAACTTTTTGACCTTTGACACGCGAAATACTCCATTTTTTTTTTTTTTTTGAAATAGTGAAAAAAATGAATGAAATTAAAAAATTCTTATAATCAAATTTTTTTTTAAATAATTTTTAAATATAAACATACTGCAGTATAAGGATAAGAAATAATTATAATTAAACATTAAATTTAAGTTTTATTTTAAAAAAAAAGCAAAAAAAAAAAGAAAAGAAAAGAGAAATGATGTATAAATTAATGTTGATTTTTTATTAATTTTCTTTTCTACTATTTAAAAAAAAAATTTTTTTACTGTATTGAAATGAATATTAGTATAATTGAACATTAAATTTAAATTTTATTTAAAAAAAAAGCAAAAAAAGGAAAAACATGAAAATGCGCAAAAATGATATTAAATAATTTTATTTAATTATTAATATAATTTTAATTGTATAATTTAATATTAATTTATTTATTATTAAAAAATATTTTTTAATTTTTTTTTTTTTACAGAGATCAAAGATTTTAATTTTCTTTTCTACTAATCAAAAAAAAAATTTTTTTTTACTGTAATGAAATGAATATTAGTATAATTAAACATTAAATTTAAATTTAAGTTTTATTTAAAAAAAAAAATAGCAAAAAAAGGAAAAACACGGAAATGCGCAAAAATGATATTTAAATAATTTTATTTATTTATTAATATAATTTTAATTGTATAATTTAATATTAATTTATTTATTATTTAAAAATTATTTTTTATTTCTCTTTTTTACAGAGATCAAAGAAAAAAAAAAAATGTATGAAAAAGACAGGGAGCAAGAATGCAAGAATTTAAAATTAGTAGCATTTATTGGTGTCGCAATGTCAACAATTGCAACATTAGTTTGCGTGATCTCAGTACCATTACTGTACAATTACATGCAGCACATGCATTCAGTAATGCAATCAGAAGTAGACTTTTGCAAGTTACGATCCAGTAATATATGGCGAGAAGTAACGCGAACACAAGTTTGTTAATTAAATTTGAAAATTTAAATTAGTTTTTTCTTGCTTGAAGAAAAAAAGAATGTTTTAAATAAAATATTTATTTAATTTGAAGATTGAAAAAAATTTTTTGAAAAAAAAAAAAGTATTGTTGAATTATTTTAAAATTTTAATTGTTATTGCTATTTTAGCTTTAATCTTATTATTATAGTTATTTTAATTTTAATTACTATAGTTATTTTAATTAATATTAGTCTAAATTAAAGAAAATATTTTAATAACTGTTATTTGTAATAATATTAATATTTGCTATGCATTATACAGGTTTGTTAATTAAATTTTGGAAAATTTAAATTAGTTTTTTTTTTTCTTTCTTTTTTTTTTTTTTTGTTTGAAGAAAAAGGAATGTTTTAAATAAAATATTTATTTAATTTGAAGATTGAAAAAATTTTTTGAAAGAAAAGTATTGTTGAATTATTTTAAAATTCTAATTGTTATTGCTATTTTAGCTTTAATCTTATTATCATAGTTATTTTAATTTTAATTACTATAGTTATTTTAATTAACATTAGTCTAAATTAAAGACAATATTTTAATAACTGTTATATGTAATAATATTAGTATTTGTATTATGCAAGCTTGTTAATTAAATTTGAAAATTTTTTTTTTTTTTTTTTGAAAAAAAAAAGAAGTTTAAATAAAATATTGATACAAATGTTCTGTTGTAAAATAAAAATTTTATATGTAAATAATTGAATAAACTTCTGAAAAAAAAAAATTTTTTTATTATTTAAAATATTATTTAATTTTAATTACCATATTTATTTTAATTAATATTAGTTTAAATTAAAAATAATGTTTTAATAACTGCTATGTGTATTAATATGTTATAGTAGTATTAAATTATTTAAGTAATTAAAATTTAAAACTAAAAATAAAAAAAAGAAAAATAAATGAAAAACAAGAAGGAATGTTGTTTCATCTAAAAAAATCACAAAAAATCGTTGCTCAATATTTTGTTTAATTCTATTTTTAGATATATGCAAAAGTCGAAAGTGGAATTCGACAAGTGCGACAGATAGGAAATGATCAATCAAGTGTTGTGTTTGGTGCCCCGGCATCACCAACAGGTGAATGTTGTGGATGTGGTGTTTCACCGCCGGGTCCACCCGGTCCACCGGGTGAGGATGGTAGTGATGGTGCTGATGGTGAAAGTGGACCACCTGGTAAAGATGGCCAGGATGCACCACAGGAACCACCTACACCGCCGAAAATCGATTGGTGCTTTGAATGTCCTGATGCACCGGCAGGACCACCTGGTATACAGGGACCGAAAGGAGTACCAGGCAAGCAGGGTTCACCAGGTCCAGATGGACCTGCTGGTAGCAGTGGTCCAGCTGGTGAACCAGGACCAGAAGGACCAGTAGGACCTCCTGGAGCACCGGGTGAGAAAGGTCCTGCTGGACCACCAGGTACTGTCATTGAAAAAGAAGGACCAGTAGGTGCACCAGGAAAAGCAGGAGAACCAGGTTTACCAGGACCTAGCGGCGAAGCAGGAGCAGCTGGTAAAACTGGATCAGATGGACCAGAAGGACCACCAGGAGATGCAGGCATAGATGGACCACCCGGAAAACCTGGATCTGATGGTGATAGGGGACCAGATGGTGAAGCTGGACCACAAGGTACCTGTGATGCTTGTCCACCTCCAAGGACAGCACCTGGTTATTAAGTATCGTTTAACAATTCACCCTTTTGTGTTATCATTGATTGTACCGCTACTAAACTTTCAATTTGAGCTTTTTATTTTTAAAATTGATAATTAAATTGATTGTGTGATTAATTTAAAAATGATAAATTCAATTGAACTCAACCACTTGTCAATCATTTTGATTTCAATTTATTATCAGATAAATTGATAAAAATGATAATGCTACTGAACTCAACCATTTTTCAATCATTTTGATTACATTTTATTTCAATTCATTATCAAACAAATCGATAAAATGATTTTTTTTTATTATAGGTCCCCAAATTCATACATACAATCCAAACAGCAATGAAAATGAATAAAATATTTTAGAATTGAAGTTAAATTTAATTCACTGTTAAAAAAAAATGGTTTTAGTTAAAATAAAAGAAATTAAGAAAATGATATTTTCTGTAAAATTTTTAATTTAATAAAGTAAAATGATATAAATGAATGAATTTATTTTTCTAAAACTGAACATTAACTTTTTAAATTTTTTTTTTTTTTTTTGGAAGTCGAACTTTAAGCTAACTTTTTGCTAATTAAATATTTATGCATTATTGTTTAAAAATTAAATAAAAAAAAATAATTGGACAAAAAAAATATTTTACAGTTATTTTGATTGATAATTGAACAGAAAATTGCATTACTGCAATGATTTTATCAATTAGATTTTTCAATTTCAAATTGATTAATTTCATTTAAATGACATATAGTTAACTAATTATTTAATTAATAAATTTTTTAAAACTTTTTGTCTTTGTTAGAATTTCAAACTTGAAAAATTTAAAATTCTCAATAACAAATATAACAAAAGAAAAACAGCAATTTTATAGTAAAAATTAACTTTACTTTACCTACAAATATTACTGATAAACTTCCTCTAAAAATGATAACAGTGGGATAAGCATTAAATGATAATATGTTTTACCTGAATTCTTCGTTTATACTTTATCAATTCTTTTTCAAATTATCAAATCATCAATTTGATATATTAATCCATGAAATACAAGAAATTCAATAATCTAAAATAATTTTTGATAACTTGATAAAATTTGATTTTAAAAAGAATTATAAAATGCTCACACAGATTTTATGATTGTATATTTTGATCCAAAAAAAATACAAAAATTTGATATGTAAAAAATTTATTTTAAAGTTTTCCTTTGTTACAAATTAATAAAATGAAATAATCAGATGCGATTATGATTAAACAGTGATTTCAATAGTTTCACATAAATGATTGAAAATTGGATCATTGGACATACAAAATGATAATTATTTAAAATTAATTATGAAACTTTTCAGATTTTAAAAGTTTTTCAAAATTTGTGAAATCTTTTAGAAAAACAAAATCCTAAAAAAAAAGAGATTAAAGATGAAGAAATAAACATTCTGACAATCTTGTATGGCTAATTTAATACTAGGTATAATTATATTTTAACTTTTTTTCTTTTTCATCCTTCAAGTATTTATAAAGTTAGAAAGCTAATAATAAAAAAAAAAATAAAAAAATTTTTTTGAAAATATTTGGAAGCATATTTTCTTTTTCTTTTCTCGAAAAAATTTAAAAATGAATGTATCAATGTATGTGATAAGAATGCTAAAGTAAATCATCGTTCTTTTGTTGTTTATTTTTTTGTTTAAAAAAAAAAAGACAAAATAACACAAAAGTGAGAATAACATTTCAATAACAATAAAAGTACGATATCCTTTTTTTTTTTTTAATTCTTATTTTTCTCTTTATTTAAATCAAAATTCTATTTTAATTTATTGTATTGCTAATTTATAATAAATGAAAATGTTATTTTAGAAATGCTTAGTGAAATTTTTTTTCTTTTTTAAAGGATTTTTTTTTGTAAATTTAATACTTCAATTTCTTGTTATATTCTTTATTTCCGTATAATTTCATCGGTTTTGGTATGTTATTGATCAGAAATTCAGCATAGGAATTGATTTATATTTTATAGAGAAGTATTATAGAGTTTAGTATTAGTATCAAAAATTTGTAAATAAGAAATTCTTAACACTTTTAAATTTATTAAATAAGTACTTTCAAACACGTTAAATAACAAATATAAAATTTAGAATAAAACATAAAAATTAATGTGAATTTATTCCGGAATATATAATAAAACAGTAATGTTTAAAATTTTATATAATAAATGAAAGTGTTATTTAGCTTAAAAATGTTCAGTGGAATTTTTTTTTGCTTTTTTTAGAGATTTTTTTGCAAATTTAATGTTTTAATTTCTATATTTTGAAGTAAATTAAAAAAATAGATAGTATTTGTAATTCTTATAATAAATTAAATAAATAATTCTAATTTAATTAAAATATTTTTGTTATTTGTAAATTTGCTTAACAAAAAATTTAAATTTATAGCTTAATGAAAGGGAAATATTGGAAATATTATCTTCTCTGGTTATTCGGAAATGATATTTTCCTGAATGCTAATTGTCTTCCGGATTTTATAAAAAAAATGCCCACAGAGAAAAGAATGGAATATGAAGCGTTATATGAGCAAAAACCATTTCTTACAAGAACTGAATTCTATGATTTATGTCAAGATTGGGCACAAAAACAAGGAGCTACTATTAAGGTAATTAATTACTAATTAGTTTTACATAATCTTTTACAAGTTTTACTGTAATGTTTGATGTCAAATTACTGTATTTGAAGGTTTTACTGTAATGTACAGTATTGAGTAGCTGTCACTGTAACGTTTGCTAGCCAAATACTGTATCTGCAAGTATTACTGTAACGCTCAGAATTGTGTAAGTGTTACTTTAACGCTTGATAGTCAATTACTGTTGTAGCATTACTGTAACATCTTGTACTATATAAATGGTACTGTGGCGCTTGTTGACTAATTACTGTATCTATAGGTATTACTGCAATGTACAGCATTGCGTAAGTGATACTGTAGCGGTTTATAACCCAATACTGCATGTGTAAGTATTACTGTAGTGTACAGTACCGTGTAAGTGCTATTGCAACGCTTGATATCCAATTACTGTAGCTGTGGATATTACTGCAATGTACAGTATTGCGTAAGTGCTACTGTAACAGTTACAAAATGATAAAATTTGAAAATTTGGAATTGTTTGATCGTATCAGACATATATTAGAATAATTAAAATTATTTGTTTTAAATTAAATTTATAATTGAAAATATTTATGGAAAAATATAAATTTATTTTTACAATTTTAAAAAATTTAAAAATAATTACAGAAAAAATATCGTGAATATCGTCTGCATGAAGAACGATATATCAAGCAACGTGATCAAGTTCTCAGAGATCGATTAGATCAAGTAAATGGTAGTAATGCAGCAAAGAATTACTTATATGAATTACTTGATTTGCAAAGTAATATGAGTATAACTTTAAAAGTATATGAAACAAGAGAGGAAGAAATGCGACATTATATTTTAGATACTGTATTACAAGAAGCTACTAAAATATGGAATTTATTGGATCCTGCACATATTGATTAATTATAAAGTAATAATAATTATTTATTACTTAATGATATGCTAATGATTAATGGATTGTATTAATATTGTTATCAGTTGTTGATAATCATTGCAGCAGTAATAATTATTACTATTTAATGATATGACTATGAGTTATTTGATTGTATTAATATCGTTATCAATTATTGATAATCATTGCAGTAATAATAATTATTGTTGATTTCATTAATATTGCTTAGTGATACTAATATGCATATGAATTATTTAGTTGTACTAATATTGTTATCAATCGTTGATAATCATTTCAGTAATAATAATTATTACTGTTTAGTGATATAATTATGAGTTATTTGATTGTATTAATATTGTTACCAATTATTGATAACCATTGCAGTAATAATAATTAGTACTTAATGATATGATTATGAGTTATTTGATTGTATTAAAAATGTTATCAATTATTGATAACCATTTCCATTAATGGTGTAGTTTGGCTAATCAAAATAATAAAATTTAGGCATTTTTTTTTCTAATTCAAAAACTTTTATTATTATAAAAGCGAAAAATATTTGAATTAGATAATTGTATCCAATAACTTTTATCAATTATATTCATTTCAGCTTATCTTTTCATACTTATTCTGAAAATTTGTATTAAAATTTAATTTTATTTAGAAATATTATTGCAAAGAAATTAGCTTTTAAAATAAAAAAAAGTATATCGATACATTTAAGCTAATATTATGTTTACAAAATTGTAATAAGCAGCAATAATTTATCAAATTAAATTATGACTAATATATTCGTTTGCAAAAAAAAAAGAAAAAAACAAATCAAATTAATTGAATTAATTATCATCCTCCAATTTTTTAATAAAACTATGAAGTGCTTCAAATTTATTAATTTATTAAGATACTTACACAATGTTTCATTACTAATTAAATTAATGAATTATCAGATATTAATGCTTCATTCCAGTATTTTACAAACTATCAAAAATTTGTATTAATAAAAAAGAAACTTAAAAAAAAATACTGAAATGATTACGGATGAAAGCAAAAAATTTTTAGCAATATTTATATCTTACAAATTTTAAGTAATAATAATGCGCAAAATATTAATTTAATTTTTCAATTTAAATTTGTAACACAATCTTTATTATAAATAATATTAAATTTCATAGATTTTTTTCGTCTAATAGACATAAAATTTATTAAATAACATTTAATTGGTCAATTAGGTGATTCATTAATTAGGGAAATTATAAATTAATGAATTAGCGAAATCAGTTAATGAATTCATCACAAAATTAATATTCAATATTATAATTTAGCAAATTTGATAAATCAAAATAAATACATGATTTCAAATAATTCATTAAATTTAATTTTAATAAATTCATTAAATTTAATTAATTTTTATTATACTATTAATTCATAAACCCCTTGATTTGCTATTACTGTTTGATTATTAAAAATTATTGTAGTGGTAAAAGTGTAAATATA